AGAAAAAGTGATCCGGGCGCCACCCGGCGAATCGAACACCGTGTTTGCAGCCTCTCCCAGGCTCTGAGCCTCCAATGTCCTCATTGAAGAGGTGCTTCTCACTTGAGCACCATCCTTGCGCCGATCGTATCCAACAGTCGACCTCCGTTATTTTCTGCGTGCGTACCAACTCCGTTGGGTTCTGCGATAGTACGCCATTGCTGCTTGCGAGAGAATTTGTTTCCCACCTGCGCGGGGTTGATTGACGACGGACAGCCCTCGGCGACGAGGAGCAAAGGCCTTCCAGGCCGCGTAGTAAGTGCAACGGAAGCGAAACGCAGGCGTGTAAACACCGGAGAGCAGCGCGAGTGAACGCTGTGGGAACCGGGGGGAGGCGTAGTGCGAGTGAAGCAGGAACGAAGTCATCACGAAGGTGGTTTACCACCATAGGGATCAAAGAGATGGTGATTAGAAACTAACACCTGACCTTAGCTGACCGACCTAACCTTTGATTACCTACGCCTCCAACTCCGGTCTCACAGGGCTCCGCCCCGTACTGCTTCTTCACATCCTTGCTTGTGTTCTCCGGAGGTGAACAGCCAATTGTCACAGAGTAAGGAACAGAATCAAGTCAATCTCAATCATACCAGAGTAACCATCATATGGGCGATGACTATGATAAACAACAAAATCGAGGTGTTTGTGCTTAACCATACAAACTCACATCAAAAGAATCTCAAACCAGGTCAAGTCAAATCAAATTCAACACTATCTGTCTACACATAGATCAATCTCTTGGACCCGGCGTCAGGCTTCCCCGTAATCCAAATCGTGTGCTCGTCGTCCCTCGGACGAATAATAAAGTCGTTATCTGCCAGGTCATCATACACCCACGATCCTGGCTCGCCGTACCAGATGCGGCCGACATGTCCGAAAATGACAAACTCCTTTTCGGCTAAGGACATCCCGTCCTCGTATTTTCTCTGAATAACAAAATTCCACTTGGAATCACGTCTCCGACTAAATTCGACTCCCCTCTTATCCACGACTCGCTGCCAACACTCGACAAAAATGAACTGACCGGCTTTGCTGCAACATAATACCGTGTCTTCCCAGAGGACCCTCCCGTCCTCCTTCATCTGGTGTTCCTTACGCAACACCGTCCACGAGTTGCAACTGTCGGCCTCCATAGGCCAACTATCGCCTTCCTGCTCACGCCAGGCAAGAAAATCCACAA